TTTAAACTCAGACAAGTCTTTTATATTGTTACCAGTTATGGGTGGGCCCTGGAAGTAGAGCTTCCAAGGAGAAAGAATTTTTTGACAATCATCTAGCTCCATTTTACAGGATTGAGCAGGTATTTTAGAGTATAAGTAGTTGTTTTGCTGGATGTTAGTTCGTTATAAATTCAGAATGTTATGTTGAAAACATTTCAGCTCATAGTAGCAACGATTCCGGACTCACGAGGAAAAGCTCCTAGCATCGTGACAGAGAACAATATGAATTTATTATTTGATATACAGAAAAAGGTATTACTTCTTCTATCTTGAGAAGATGGCGAATAGACATTTTCTACTTTATGTCAATTGTAGGCTATTTTCCTATTATACTAGAGTTAAATAGTTGCTTCATTGAAAATTGTAATTGTGTTAGGTGGATGCTATCAGAGCTAATTATTTTGGTTCAATGGTATCACTTACTGATATTTGCTTGAAGCCACTCAAAAAGGATTGTGCCACTCAAAGTGTTCTTCAGGTACTTTGGGATTATCCTGATTATATTCTGATTGCTTGTTCAGAACTTTATTCATAAATTATCCCCATATTAAAATATTATTTAATTTGTCCATTGCAAATGGAGCTGGAAGAGTCATTGTTGACAATTCTCCTGGCATAGTGCTAATAATGGACTAGATCAAAATGGCTCAATTAAATTCTAGTGCTTCTTCTATTAGTGATGTTTCTAGAAAAAAAAAAAATATCAAACGGCGTGCACCTTGGGTCGCTACGGAAACAGCCTCCTTGTATAATTACAAGGGTAAGGTCTGCGTACAACAGACCCCCCAGACCCCAACCTGTTGGGAATATACTGGGTATGTTGTTGTTGTTGTTGTATTAAAATATTATTTAACATGCTTTCAAATGTCACAAGATGACAATAAAATGATGGACATTAGATTTCTATTCATTTGGTGCTGTTTTGCTTGTTCATGTTGGCCCAAGTTTATGTTTCTATGTCTCGTATATAAAGTACTTTTTTCATTTCATCATATCTTAGTAATAGATATTTGTTCAGTGATTGCTGTATTGGCATTTCACTGGTCCTTGGATGGTCACATAACTTGTTTTTTTTGTTTCTTTTCTATTTTTTTTTTTTGTTTTTTTTGCTTTATTCTTTAGCAAACTATGAACAAGTTCATGGTCACCAATTGTTTATTTTTGTTGTAGTATTTCAAGATGGATCCTGAAAATTATGACAACTTTGGGGGTCTTGATCACGTTGAATACTGTTTTCAGGTACTTTTAGAGGCTCATTTTTGTTTATTACACCCAAGTTCTCTTTCTTTATTATCTTTTACGAGATAAGTAGACTAACTTGTGCTCTGCCTTTTAATGTTCCAGCATTTTAGTTCAGCAGAGACATGCGCAAGTGCATTTAAAGCACCTCTTGACCCAAGCACTGCACTTGGCGGTTTTTCCGGAAATAACTATCTCGAGGTACTTTCTTTGTATCGTTTATTGTTTAATTTTTCACATGTGAAATACATTCAACTCAACCAATCCTTTAGGCTTCTGCATTCGTTGTGACGTATCCTGTGAACAATGAAGTTGACAAAGAAGGGAATGGAACAAAGAGGGCTGAGGCATGGGAAAAAGCTTTCATTCAGCTTGCAAAGGTTCAAATTTGTTCTTTTGTTCATTTACAATCCTGATATAGGTGATCTATGTAAACGTGATACTAAGCTTTCATCGTGTAATTTGGTTATGAATAAGTTTTCCTTTTGTCATCTAAATCCAGCTCTTTGGGCAAATAGTTATATTCTTTACTTAATGCCTTGACGTGCTTGTGGGCATGAAAGAAGATGATAAAGTTGGAAATTATAGATTATTCTAGCTTTTGTAATACAAAATCTAAGAACCAAAGATTTATTATCCTAGAGAATCTAGCAATAGAGATCCACTCATAATACTTTCGGCTCCCAGTATGATTCAGCTACAAACAAGAACCAATAGCTCCAATTTTGTTTGAACTTCTGTCCAAGTGAGGCATTTCTCATGCTTCATGTATCAAATTTTCTTCTATACTTAATCATTTCTCTCACAGGAGGAGCTTTTACCTATGGTGCAGTCAAGAAATTTAACACTTGCATTTTCATCCGAAAGCTCTGTTGAGGAAGAGTTAAAACGAGAAAGCACTGCTGATGCCATCACTATTTTGGTAGGGGAATGGATCTCTCTCTCTCTCTCTCTCTTTCTCTGTCTCCTCTCTCTGTCTCTACACTCACACACTATTTTCAATTATTTTATATTCACCCATATAATCATTATATATCATTTTCTGTTTCAGATAAGTTATCTCGTAATGTTTGCTTACATTTCCTTGACGCTAGGAGATGCTCCTCGGTTCTCCTCATATTATATCTCCTCTAAGGTATTATTCCGTAAACAAGCTAATTCATTTTGCTTATTTAAATATTTCCTATGCTCATTGAGGATGATATTCAGTTGTTTTTGTTCTCTTTCTCAGTCATCCTATTATCCATTTCTGTTTGGTAATTTAAGTATGTGCATCTGTGCTAAACACATTACAAATTGCTTCGATAAATCCAAGACAGGCTTATAGGTATAGTGGCAATATAGTTGCACATTTGTTGTTTTCTGTAGCCCATTTAATTTTGTAATCCCCTCAACATGTTCTCTGCATGTAGATTAAGTATGCTTTGTCTCTAGACCCGGTAGCTGAGCTTTCCTGATACATGATAAGTGCAAAGAAATATTTATAATCTTTGTTAATCTGATGAAGTCATTGCGTCTTGATTATTCTGTATAGGCATGGTTTTGTTCAATTTTCTTGCTTCCTTGTTATGCTGTTGTTTTATTGGAAACGATCTTTCCATTTTTTGACTCAAATATCGACTCAGGTCCTTTTCTCCTTTTTGGGCAACCTGTGTGTTTCTTTAACAGGTATTGCTTGGGCTAGCAGGAGTTGTACTTGTAATGCTCTCAGTACTTGGATCGGTTGGATTTTTCAGTGCAGTTGGCATAAAATCAACCTTGATAATAATGGAAGTCATCCCTTTTCTTGTTTTGGCAGTAAGTCGTGCTTCTTAAGTTTGCTTGCGCAACTTCTCATTATTGGATTTTTGGACTTCCTTGCTTTCTTCTTTCTCTCTTTCTTTCGTTTTTGTGTTGCTATGATTTTGATCTCGACGTATTACTTTGTTCAAAAAAAAAAAAAAAAAAATTAATCAAGTTGTGTTTGTGTACTTTTATTTGTTTCAACTTTCAAAATGTAGAATTAGTAAATGCATAGAATTAGCATTGTGTTCGAATAATTGACTTTTAAGGGGCTTATATTTTTTGAAATCTGGTGTTCCTCTTTGTTATTTAGTCCATATCTTTACATGGATATTGGTTGAAAAAGTTGAACTCAGTAGCTCGGCATTTTAAATAAATAAGAACCTTGAAAGTGTACTTGTTCAATGGGTCTCGCTTACTCACCTTCTCAAACAATATAAGGCTGCACTGTTGTATTAGAAAAATAGTCAAGTGATTCATTTAGCATTGTGACTGTCTCTATTATGCTTCTCCAATTTCACGCTGAACAATGAACATGCATATTAAAAAGCTTTTTAATCTGATCAGAGATCACTGGACGACTTGTCTTTGCAATTAAGAAAACCCACTATGTGATATTTGATAAATAAATACTAACACAAAAAGGTTAGATGTTTGTTCAGAGCTGAGGCCCCCGCGAATACACGTTTACCTTTATTGAGCATAGATATACATATATTTTTATGACTTGATTGATTGGCAAGTCTTTTGACATGGTTGTCAGGTTGGAGTAGACAACATGTGCATATTGGTACATGCTGTAAAGAGACAGCAGGTAGAATTGCCTATCGAGGGAAGAATTAGTAATGCTCTAGTAGAGGTTGGGCCTTCTATGACACTTGCTAGTCTTTCTGAGGTCTTGGCATTTGCAGTTGGAAGTTTCATACCTATGCCAGCTATCCGTGTCTTTTCGATGTTTGCAGGTACGAGTTTTAAGGAAAAAAAAAAACATTGTGATTGTAAAACTACCAAGCAAATGATTCAAAATATTTAGTTTTGTAATGCATGTCCGGTTTGCAGCATTGGCCGTTCTCTTGGATTTCCTTCTACAAATCACTGCTTTTGTTTCCTTGATTGTTTTTGACTTCTTGAGAGCTGAGGATAACAGGATTGACTGTTTTCCTTGTATAAAGGTGTCTGGTTCGAATGTGGAACTGGATCAAGGTATCTATTGATACTTAAATTAAGCAATCTGCTTTTTGTTCAAGTTACCATGTTCCTGTTTTAGTATACTTTCAAGCATAATGCTAAAACAGACAGCACTTGTTAAAACGTAGGTAGTCATCAGCAGAAACCTGGACTGCTGGTCAGATATATGAAGGTAAGAAATAAAGATAAATGTCTCCTTTTGTCGTACGAAATGATTTTATTTTTTAATATCAATTAATTAGTATCTTCCTCTAGGAGACTCTGTCAAGCAATTTCTGAATTTATCATGAAAGTACTATTCATTCATTCATTCATTCTTTCTTTCTTTCTTTTAGCAACTTGGCTTCTAATCCATATGTAATCTTTCTTGTGGCCCGTTCTTTAGTTTGCTAGACTTGATCTTTCATTTACTTTTTAATCATATTATGACAAGAGTTGCTTCCATTGGTGTAGGAAATTCATGCTCCCACTCTAAGCCTGTGGTTTGTTAAATTGCTGGTTGTCTGTGCTTTTGGCGCATTTACATTGGCAAGCATAGTAAGTTGTTGACGGCAACTTCTCCTCTTAGCTAATGTCATCAATCACATATGCTGGCTGTTATTTCATTTGTGACTAGAAAGCTGAATCTTCATAATTGATCCATGAAGGCATTATGTTCAAGAATCGAACCTGGTTTAGAACAGCAAATCGTTCTTCCTCGAGACTCGTATCTTCAGGTCTTACTAGTTTTATACTTAATGTCATGTGCAGTAAAATCTTTTAACATCCTTCCGAAACTTGATTGACTCTGGTTTTCTCCTTTTCTTCTGGCAGGGCTACTTTAGTAACATATCAGAGTATCTTAGAATTGGTCCCCCACTATACTTTGTAGTGCAAAACTACAATTTCAGGTATTTTACTTTTATTCAGTTACGGTTAATTATCAAATTCGTTTGGTGCGAAATTAAAGTTTGGTAACTACATAACATCTTTACATAGGAAAAATAAAATAAAATGTATCTGTATCTTCCCTTGATGCAATTATGTAATCTGGGTAAATTATGGAACAGAATATAGTTTATGATACTTTGTTCCCTTCTTCTATGTCTTCAAAATCCATTATTGTTTTTAAGGTTTAGTGAATTTCTTATCACGCTCATGTTTTTTTCTTTTGTCTCCCAGTTCTGAATCAAGGCAGACAAACCAGCTTTGTTCCATTAGCCAATGTGATTCTAATTCTCTTCTCAATGAGGTAAAACCTCTGTGTTAGGAAAGAGTACTTTTAAGCTTAGGAGTATCAGTTAGTTGTCTGCTTTTTCCTGCTGGCTAGAAGTTTCAAATGATAAACGACTTGTGAGAGTCTAAGGTTGAACTGTTTTAATGAGAATCTCTCTTTGTTTTTCTTCTCTTGTATTTATCCGTGGGTAGCAGGAGCATTACTGGATTTAATGGATATAGTTATTTCAAATGTAAATGAGAATACTTATTTTATTATCTTTTAGGAACCCATCTTGTTGAACTTTTTAAGATGTTTTCAGAGATCACTGACTTGTAATATCTAGAAGCAATCAATTGTCTCTTCTTTCTGGATATTTCCACAAAACATGATGCAATCTACCTATCTAAAGTTTCTGGATTATCATTAATCTTACATGTAGACATGGGCAGAGTGGGGTTTGGAGTTATTTAGTCTCACTCCTGATATTTCTTCTCTCTAAGAGGTGTTTTCAGTTTACAAATGCTTCATATACATATTTTCCCATTTGTTTGGGCAATTGCAATTTATCAACTAAGCACTGGATGGGTAATAGAAGAAGACTGATTTTTTAATTTCATGTTCATGGGACTCCAGAACATGTTGTGTATTTGTACATAGGCAATTTGTTTGAAGTATTTCCAATGCAAATTTTCATGAGTTATGCAGATTGCAAGAGCATCTTTAGTACCAGAGTCGAGTTATATAGCCAAACCTGCTGCTTCGTGGCTTGATGATTTTCTTGTTTGGCTATCTCCTGAAGCTTTCGGTTGTTGTAGGAAATTCACAAATGGAAGCTATTGCCCTCCCGATGATCAGGTCTCTCATAAACTTAACGAGGCATATATTCTATATGTTATTGTGTCTTAAAATATCCGTACTTCTTATACAGTATGCATTTATGTGAATCGTTTTCCTGTCTTCTTTTAACTTTCTGTTTCAGTTAAAATTTCTTCAACTTTCTGCAATTGCATCACTCTCTCAAGTGTGATATGCATCCTGTTTTCTGTTTTTGTTGTATTTTTTTCTATATAGATAATATACACGTCAAGATTTTTCCTGAAATCTGACCGAACATTTTTTCTCAGCCTCCTTGTTGTTCATCAAGTGATGGTTCTTGTGGACTTAGCGCCATTTGTCGCGACTGTACTACAGTAAGTTAAACCTTGTAACATTAATAATAATAAGTATATAAATGAAAAGGGAGAGGTTTATTTATTTATATATATATTTTTTTTTCGGCATATGACTTGGTGGAGATAGTAAAATTTAAATTTAATATATTATGTCTTTTTTTTTTAGTGTTTCCGTCACTCGGAGTTGCAAAACGATCGTCCATCAACAGCACAGTTCAGGGAAAAACTCCCATGGTTTCTCACTGCCTTACCCTCAGCTGATTGTGCTAAAGGTGGGAATGGGGCATATTCAACCAATGTCGAGCTTACAGGTGGAGATTTTGTTACTTTTTAGAAAATAGATTGACTTGTTTAGCTAGCGTGGTAAAGTTGTTGCCTTATCCGAATTGTTGATATATATATATATAGGTCTTGAGGATGGTGTCGTTCGAGCGTCAGCCTTTCGGACTTATCACACGCCCCTAAATAAGCAGGTATATCGTTACTGAGAAGTTTTTATTTCGATATGTTTTATTCTGGTATAATGTTCAATATTTTCATGATTTTACAGAAGTTTTTTTTTACCAAAATTGTTGTTTACAGGCTGACTTTGTTAACTCAATGCGGGCCGCTAGAGATTTTAGCGCGAGGATGTCTGATTCTCTAAAGGTAGTTGATCAGTGCAATTATTGAAATTTGGGGTGACAAATTTGGTAAAATTATGGTGACGTTTTAATGTTTTCTGATTTTCAGATTGACATCTTTCCGTATGCCGTGTTTTATATGTTTTTCGAGCAGTACCTGGATATATGGAAGACAGCTCTTATCAACCTCGCTATAGCCATTGGTTAGTTAATTTTTCTTTTCTATCATTTGGTACATGCACAAAGCTTTTGATGTTGGCTGATGAGAAGTGTTACCTAGAGAGCATATTTATTTTAATTATTTAGAGTAGTAATTTTTCAAATGTTGTATGCTTTTGAAGTCTTAAGTAGCAGTCTGATAATGCAGCCTCATGGGGTTACCAATTTTAGTCACCTTTAAGTCAGATGTGATTAATTGATTAATTATCTGTGGATTTTACCCCTTTAATTTATCAACTTTTTGTGCTACGCTGGATGAGGATGTGTAGAGTGATGAAAGAGATGTTCTTTTAGTTAAGTGTTGATGATGTTTGTTGGTGTTGAGTGATTATCTTGATTTATTCGTGAATTTATTTACTGCAGATGTAATTGCATTTTCACTTTTTGTTTCTCATCTCTAATGAATCAGTCTCTTAAAAACTTTACAGGGGCTGTTTTTGTTGTTTGCTTTGGAATAACATGCAGGTCAGTAATTTGCTCTCACCAATTTAGTATCAACCATTGTGGTTGTTTACCAAAATATAATAGCAATTACCATTGTTCTGATTTTCATCTCCTTCCTTTTATAGTGTTTGGACTTCAGCAATAATCCTTGTTGTTCTAGGCATGATCGTCGTGGATCTTTTGGTACTTGAGCTTTGTATTTATTTGATATTTTTATTTCTTGATTGTATATTAGCCATTGCAGCAAGGTTTTTGATTTGAAGTATCGTGTGTTTGTTCAGGGTGTAATGGCGATTTTAAATATCCAGTTGAATGCTTTGTCGGTGGTGAACCTTGTGATGTCAGTGGGTATTGCAGTCGAGTTCTGCGTGCACATAACACATGCTTTCTTGGTTACATTTCTTACTAACACTCTCATCTACACATTCACATCCACTACTTGGGACTCATGTAATGGCCCTTGGATTTTCATCACAGGTGACAAGTGGAGATAGGAACCAACGGATGAAGGAATCTCTGGTCACAATGGGATCTTCTGTATTCAGGTTTCTTTTTTCTTTCTTCTTTTTTAAATGGCAAAATTGCATATTAATACACCACCTTTCATGTTTTTGCAATTTAATCACCACCTTTACAATTTTGCAAATTAATACACCATCTTTATCATTTTTGCAAATCGATACATGAATGACGGTTCCGTTAAAAAATTCTAACGAAAATGTGACATGTCAATGGCTAAATGCCATGTCAGATTTTCGTTAACGAAATCATCATTCATGTATCGATTTGCAAAAATGGTAAAAGTGGCGTATTAATTTGCAAAATTGTAAAGGTGATGATTAAATTGCAAAAACATGGAAGGTGGTGTATTAATATGCAATTTTGTCTTTTTAAATTCTCACTCTTTATAATATATCTATTTATTTATTTTTTCCTCATTGTTCTTTGTCCAACTTGAATGACAATATTGCCTGATACTAAATAGAATAGACTACAAAGAAAGAGCAAACACTACTTTATTTTAACATTTGGAAAACGTATGCTGAGTTCTTGTTCATCTTACAAAATTTATCCTCACTTTTTTTTTTTCGCCTTTTTCAGTGGAATCACACTGACAAAGCTAGTTGGAGTGCTCGTTCTATGCTTTTCAAGGACCGAAGTTTTTGTGGTATGTAATCTTTTGCAGGCCATCATTATATTTATATGATATGACAAGAGCCATTTTTGTTCTCCTAACACAAACATCTGTTTCTCTCTGCTGCTTTACAGGTTTACTATTTCAAAATGTATCTTGCCTTGGTTCTTCTGGGTTTCTTGCACGGCCTTGTCTTCTTACCTGTAAGATCCCTATATTCTCCACTCCTTTTTTTTNAATTACCCTTTTTCTGTAGGTCATGAATGACCATATTTTTCTTTTTCCTTATGATGAACTGCGCTTAAGTTCTTTCTTGCTAAGCCTAAAGTAATATTTTATCATGTGTTCTCGTGATGATACTTTATGTAGGTAATATTGAGCATGTTTGGGCCGCCGTCAAGATGCGTGCTAATAGAGAAGCAAGAGGATCGGCCATCCACGTCATCACAGTTCTAGTTAATCTAAACCTTGATGTGTTATTGTGTATTAAGAAAGGTGTTTTAGTTTTCTCTCTCTTTTTTTGGTACAGTATTGTCTGAGATTAAGAAATATGGGTGGAGGAAGTTGATGTGATAGTGCTTTTCCAATTGTAAAGTTGATTGGTTTACATGTGTTTCTTTGGAAAGTTAACAGAGAAAGATTAAAGTTGATTATAAAAGGGAGTGTTTCACTAGCCAAATCAAAGCTCTTTCAATAGTAAATCCATCGTGCGCTCATGATATATGGTTTGGGATTACAAATATATGACTTCTTTCTAAATCTAACAACACTATATTCAAAAGTAATTAGGTCTTATTTTTTAGTCTTTTAGAGATGCAGGAAAAAAAAAAAATAGAATCTTGAATTCAAACTATGAAATATAAGTAGCAATCTCACAAACTCTTGGGCAAACTCAATATGCTAAAGAGGGAATATTAAGATTCAATGCTAATAGTAACTGCAGCCATTCATCTTTGAGTCTTTGTGAAGCATACATACAAACTCCAAAGATGGTATGGAGCTTTCACATTTTCATGTCTCTAATAGCTAGCCATTCATCTTTGAGTTTTTGTGACGCATACATACAAACTCCAAAGATGGTATGGAGCTTTCACATTTCCATGTCTCTAATAGTTACAGTTGGAATCTCTTCAAGTTGATATCTATATATCTATATCTATCTATCTATATCTATAATCTATAACTCTCTTAAAAGGATAAGTGGTTTCTTGAAAACTAGTAATCACCCGTGCGATGCACGGGGATATTATTATCTAGAATGTTTTTAAAAAACAATTTTGTATATAAATTGTGTTAAGCAGGCAATGATCATGATCATAATAATAGACATATAAACATATCATTAAATTGAAAAGATCATATATTATTGAACACTTCCCTATATACAACATTATTGGTTTGATTCGTTGGTACGTCATCTTCGCCACAAATTAAGATTTTCAAACCTTTTCGGTTAGTGACACGGGAAACAGCAACATATAACTGGCCATGACTGAACACTGGTTTCTTAAGAAATAAGCCAACATGGGATAAGGATTGTCCCTAACTCTTGTTTATAGTCATGGCGTAAGAAACCATAACAGGAAACTGTCGCCGCTGGAACTTGAAAGGATTTCGAATATCAGAAGGAGTTATGGCCATTCTTGGAATCAACACCTTATCACCAGCATGATCCCCTGGGAGTATCTTACACTCAAGAACGTGAGTCGATAGCTTTGTCACTACCAATCGTGTCCCATTACACAAACTCATAGAATGATCCATGTTCCGCAACAACATGACTGGAGTTCCAATCTTCAAATACAACTCATGGTTCGGTATTCCGGAACACTTGATACTATTCAAAAACTCAGGCGTATGGAGATCAGACAAAAATTCATTATTAGAATCCGATTTGCACGTATTGTCAGAGCTCAAGTACATACGACCATCGCACGAATTCAATGATGTCATGTACTGATTGATAGACTCGACCACATCCAACGTCGGCGCTAATATAGCCCTATCCTTCAAATAACTTGGATCGTCGGGTGCCTCTTTGTACATTGGATATGTGCTTTCAACGATCTGAGCAATAGGATCATCAGATGGCTGAAGCAAAATGTCCTCGGGTATGTCTATAGGTGCACATCCATCATTCAACCCTCCGATAGTTCCATCTCCGATGTTGGCTATCCAATCTACAAACCGTGCAAGCTCATCACGTTCATCCGAATCAGCAAGTCCCTGAAGGCGCATGTTTTTCGTAAGCCTAAGCACAGTACAACTCCTCCATATGTCAGAAGCATTAATGGCAGCATTGACTATGTCCTGACGGCTACCCTTTGGAATGACAGGAAGGATTTGTCGAAAATCTCCACAAAAAACAACCGCCTTCCCACCAAACGGTTTGTTCAAGTTCAAAGGATCAATTGCTCCCATAATACTCTGCATGTCTGTACAGCTTCGAAACAATGCTTGTGCATCATTGGTGCTTCATCCCATATTATCAGAGAAGCACGAATTATCAATTCCGCCAGAGGGCTTGACTGATCGATGTTGCAAGTAGATTCCTGGTGGGGATTCAATGGTATAGCAAATCGAGAATACGCTGTTCGTCCACCTGGCAACAAAAGCGATGCTATTCCGCTGGATGCCACACATAAGACTATGTCACCTTTGGATCTCAAAGCAACAGATAAAGTCCTCCACAGGTACGTCTTCCCAGTTCCACCATAACCATATACAAAAAGACCCCTCCTTGGCCGGATTCAACAGCGGACATAATTGTTGAGTACACACTCCTCTGTTCGGCTGTCATTTTATTAAGGAGCATATCGTGTTCAACAGCGAGGGCCTTTCGATCATAATTCAATTCATCCAAAATTAGACGATTAGAACTTGAATTGACGTTCTCCCTATCCGGAAATGGCATAGTTTCATATTCACGAAGACTTGACCCACGTCGTCTCAATAAATTCTCAATCTCAGCAAGTGCCAGGTTCTTGATTTGTTCTTCAGTGAGCACCAAACCTACAAACCAGTTATTTATGAGTAAGAATAAAAAAAATACTAACACGTTTAGAACATCTATATAAAGATAAATATGAAATTATGATTAAAAATTTTATAATAAGTAATTGATTACCATCATTATTGTGTAGTCGGCGATGTCTGTACAGAATGTCATCTGACATGCATTGCCAACACTTTGTCCAGACATCATCCGACCTTCCAAATGAACCGGACACCAACAAAGATGCAAACATGCGTCTAAGGGAGTCTGCAGAAGCCCATTGACTTGCTTCTGTAATGCCGTCTATATACTCCCTATCGTCCTCCAACAAACCGCGCTCGTAGCAAGCATCACGATACGTTAGATGCTGGACTTCACCGACTTTCATATAGTCCTCATGACATGTTGCCCCATGCACAACAGTGAGCAATAGTCTCAAGTAGTAATTATTTCCACTACCGGGAGGTACGTATTGTAAACGACCTACAGAGGGTTGGTCCTCATCTTTTCGAGGTGTCCATTGCCTGATTGTTGTATTCCACACAAATTTTGATGGTGCCTCAACATAAGTTAGTTCCCTTGCCTTGGGATATATTTTGTTTGCCTCGAACCACGCAAGAAATTGGCTTTCATCAACTGTGGGTTTGTTGAGAACATTTTCATGATCATCATCTTCGTCAAATAAAAGGTTCTGTTCTCCAAATAAGTGGAAGTTCAAACGCTGTACGGGAGGTTTTTTGTACTGCAACTCAAAACCCAACAGCCGCCATGCCGCCTCACACGAAGATATGTACCGACAATCGTAATACATTTTTATCTCATCTAACGGTCTTTCAATATCCCCTTCTGCAGACGTTTGATAGAATGATGCGGTCACACGATCATTACCTTTGTTCACATATTTGAATAAATATTTTATAGATCGTGATTGATTGCACCACTCAACATTAATATGCGCTCCAAACTTCATAAGCAGACGACATTTATGAGGCACGACATATCCATTGTGAATAACAATGCCATTCTTTTCAAGAGATGTTCCATTGTCACGACGTCTATACCGTGGATAACCATCTTCGTCAACAGTTGTGGACTCAACGAACTTCTTTGGAAATTTTTTAGTACATTTGCCATCCACCATACAGGGTGAGTTTTTGTTTACCAGGCCACACGGTCCGTGGATCATATGCTCCTTTACTGCCTCGTAATATAGAGGATCAGACGATTGATCTGGTATCTCTGCAGAGATGATTCTATCTATGTTCGATGGGTCAGGAAATTTGGCCTCCTTAGCAAGGAAGAGCAGTATATGAGCTTGAGGTAAACCACGTTTTTGAAACTCGATCGTGTATATAACTGCAATATAAAATTGTAGTTAATATTATTATTCAAAATAAATAAATATATACTTTTTTTTGTAAATGATTAATAAATATGTTGTCACCATTGTATACATTATCAAATGGCTCACCTGCTATAACCTTCCCAAATATTTTCTTTTGACAAAAATCTCTAACCAATTCCTTAAGTTTTGCTCGAAAGACCCTACATACAATATCTGGTCGATCCTCAGGTCTCAACTTTTTAGGCTCAAGATAACGCACTATTTCTGGCCATTTGGGGTTACACGTGAGTGTAATAAACAAATCAGGGTACCCAGCCCATCTACAAATTGCCATGGCATCTTGATAGTTTTCAATCATATTGCGAGCACCACCAGTGAAGCTTGAGGGAAGAATTATTCTTTTTCCTACGGTTCTTGGATCAGTGTCACCATGGAGAACGGCCTCAGCCACACCTTTGTACAAATCACAACGGAGCTTTTTCTGATTGAGACGTATATACCGTAACCTCGCAGATTCAACCACGGTATAAGCATCGACAGTAAATTGTTGATACAATCTTCTAGATGAAACAATAGTCGGTGCTTCGTGTTCTCGATCGTGCATTTTATATGCAAAGTACTCTCGTACACTAACATATTTTCGACCGCCTTTGTTCACCTTCGTGCCTTCCCTAAACGGTATGTCCTCTCGATACCCATCCTCACCATAAGGCAACAAAAGAGGATATTGTAATGCCAAATATGAAGCATTAAGTTCATTTATCCGTTGAAGACGACCGTTCCTAGTTTGGACCAATATGTCCCATTTACCCATTGACAGGTCAAAATCGCCAACAACCAATACAGCAACTTCTGAACTTGTAGGCAAATTATATTGTCTGGCATCTTTAGATCTCCGACCAATCAAACGCACTCGAACATTTGATTCACCATGCTCCTGCATTCTATCCCTAGCCATACGAAATGATTTCACCAGTTCATTGTGTTAATCCAACATTTGTTTCAACCCATAACTATGTCCTCATGCAAATTATTATTCTCCGATACGTTTCTGCAAGAATTAATAACAATTATCATTATATGTTCGATTGAAACTTTTCTTGAACAACATATATGAATAAAAAAATATATAAAGAAACAAAATTAAACAAATATTGAATATCAAGTAGAGCGGATTTATACCTCACAGCATTCATTTTGTTTGAAACTTCATTCTCCGTATCATATATATATAATTGTGCGAACTTCGGACATGCACCTTCAGAAGGAAGCAAACTACCGATAAGATGATAATACTGTCCGTGCAAAGAAAACACTGGTGGGCCGGTCC